TTATATTTTAATGAAGGTTAAAGGAGCCCAGGAGTGATTTCGGATGTTTTTTCAATGTTTTGGACAAACTGCAGCTTCGAGTCTGCACAGCTCACCGATCGCGGAACCAAAGAGCCGCGCAGAGTCCCTGAAACCATAAGATACCAGCTGCCCACATTCTAATGCAAATGCCCCAAAAGCTCCCCTATAATACCCTCAAGTCCAAGCATAATCACCACAAAAGAGAGAGAGAGAGAGGCCGCTCACCAAATACCCGTGGCCCAAGATTACACAAACCCTCGCCCGGAAAAGCCTCGTATAAAAAGCTCACAGTACGTATCGATACATTCGATCACCGGCTCGCACCCCCGCGGCGATTAATCATCTCTTCACTAATTAATCAGCCGAAAGTACCGGCCGCTGCAGTTGTACGCTTCACTCCCGATCTTATACACGTTTTGTTGTGCGCCCCACACGACTTTTCATCCCTACCCGATTAATCACATCAAAGGGGCCAACAGCAGCTGCTCGCCTCCCGAGATTAATCATAGATCGGCGTCGCGCTCCTCCTCTCTTTCGGTTTCAATTAGCCCGACACGCTTATACAACTATATACGTATTACACGGTCCATCCACCCTCGGGGAAAAAAAATTCACTCCGAGCTTGGGTACATTATGCGTGTATATTGAGCTGAATCAAGGGGGGGAAGGAAGGACAATGCCGGGGTGCACCTGCCGCGGAACAGATTCGCCAAGTCGAACTCCGTAATGCACCGCTCTCGGCCCAACTTTACAATCGGGATATCTACCGCGTGTAGTACACTTTGGTTGTTGTACCCTCGCGCGTGGATTGTACGAGCTATAATTGTCGCCGCGGACCCTCGGACGGAAGTCACACGGCAATGGGGGGTGGTTATATCAGAAACTTTGTGGAAAAAGTCGTAGCTTGGCTGGGCGTCAATTTTTGAGCGTTCGGTGAAATATATAATATATATATATACATATGTATAAGGGATGGACGGGCGCGCGATGGAGTTTGCAAATTGCGTCCCGAACTTGGGTAATGGCATTCCGTTTGCGAGGGAGTGAATTTTGATCACCACGACTCGGCATTATTCATGGCTTTTGTTTTCGACGTGTAGCCCCCCCCCCTTCCACCCGTTGTCGTGTGTTTTATGATTAAAATATACATCGGCCGATCGTTGCAATTCGCGAATATGGAGGGGATTTTTTTTGGCTCGCTCTGTTTTGGGCATCGAGTATAGGGGGTACGGCTCAATTGGAATTTTACATTTTGCACGGGGAATTGACTTTTGCAGGAAATTTTTCATTTTTTTTATCGATGAGACAGAGACTGGGGGGGGGGGGTTTCACGTGCGCTTTTGCTTTACCCTGCTATATTTTCAACATCAATTCGCGTAATATTAATATTGGATATATGTATATCTGCGTAATCAAATAGTCGGACGCATTTATAATTGTGAAATACACCCCACCGTATAGGTATATGCCAATATCAGTATTATTGACGTTTAATTTAACCATCAAAACTCGCTGGAGGTTTTTAAAATATTGCGCGAATATTACCTCTCCAGTCGTTTACTAACATTCATTAATTTTGTAAAAAATATCCGTATAGTATTTCTACGCGACTTGTTTGATATAGCAAGACCGTATCGATTGCACTGGTAAGCCATCCATCCGTGAACAATTATTCCACCAATATTATAAATTTCCTTTAATTCATTTATTCCATAAAAAAATACCCATACAGCATTTCCACGTGATTAATTGAATAACAAAACCATCAATTGCACTCGTAGGTCATCCCTTTATAAACAATAACTTCCCAAATATCACCTTTATTTATTTATTCCACAAAAAATATTCGTGTTTTATTTCCATACGATTTATTAAAAAAAAAAAAAAAAAAAAACCCATCCACGACTTAGTTAACTTTCTCGCGCGTCAACTTGACCAAACGAACGAGCGCCTGTTGTTCTTGCCGGGTGATTCTCCCCGCTATAGACGCTTCCTCCGGTACACACGTGCAGCCTGCCATAGCCATTGTTGCCTCCCCCTCCCTCCCTACGTGGAACGTGCATGAGTAACAGTATAACGGATTGCGCCGACTCTCTATGCCCCTCGAATGCCGTTCTTCTTTTCTTTTTTTGCTTTGCTTTTCAATCGCCGTTCCATCTATTGAGTGACGGAATGCACCGGCAAAAGTACAACGGATTGGCATTGGTTTCCGCGTGTCGGAGGCCGAGATGTTTTGTGAAATTCACTTGGATGATTGATAATCAACTGTGTAATGTAGAAAAAAAAAATGCGAAACGATTAATTATTGTGTAGCTAATGATTGATCTCTTCGAAAACAACAAATTACAAGTACTGTTACTCGATGTCATTGAGTGTTTTCGATTAAAAAACAAAGTGCCAATCGAAAGTGAACAAACTTGCATGTACATTTAACATGTAAAACATTAAACAAATTAAGAGAGCTTTTTGCTGGGTACGTAATAATATACACTTGAAAATTAGCGATTGAAAGGAATGTCGGGCGAAAATTACGAAAATTTAACAATCATCCGGTTATTGGGGAAAATCCCGCAATTGCGTGATTTTATTCGCGATAAATAGGCATTTAGTAATATTTTTTCTCCCAAAGAATTAAAGGACGCGTCCCAAAAAAAAAAAAAAAAAAAGGAAAATGCGGGTACACGTGATTTCGCATACAGCTTCGGGGGTGAGAAAAAAGAGCAAAATCAACCTACAGAAATATTTTTCATCTGGCACCGATTGATTGTTTGCTTCTGTCATACAACAAATGAATGCGAAAGAAAAAATAAAAAACCAACCAAAGACACATGTTGACGGAACAATCTGGTGCATCATCATCACATAAAATTCGACACACGTGACTTAGGCATAAACGAAAAAAAAAAAAAAAGCAGCAGGAGGAGGATGGGGGGTAGAGGTGGTAGAGCCAACGGCGCATCACGAGAGTAATCAAAATTTGCAATCGCTCATCAAGTTTTCAAATTGCAAGGCGCGGGCCTCGACACCCACCATCACGACTCTCACACGAGGACGATCATTCTAATGGCACGCGCAAGAACTGACATCAAAGTACAATCCATATGCATATATATGTATGCATAAACAAGAAAAGGACAAAAAGCTGCGCGTGTATAAATATAAATTTGAACCACGTGATAACAAATGCATCGGGTGGCATCATCGGGGTCATGTCTGGCGTTTTCTCGGCCTCGTTGAAATTTCACGTTCTAATAGCCAGAGGCGGGATATCGCGCCGCGGTATAGGTATTATACCAATTTATAGATGGACCAGCGTTGATATCCCGCTGGGAAATCAGCATAGCGGTGGTGCCCTCGGCAGAGAGGTACGGCGGACGCGTCGGTGTGCACATAATATATAATGCAGCCGAGGACGAGACACACACTCACCGACACGTACAAGCGATAGTTTCGAGGAAGAGGGGCTGCACGATGGGTCATCAGGCATAATCACGCGGCTCTACATTGTATAGCGTAGTAGAGTGGCACTTACGCAAAACAATAACACGTTTTTACGGGGCATTGTGGATTCTCGCGCATTGCGCGAAACCATTAAATTCGTGCGTATATGTATATACACGTACACCCTGTTGGCTTCACCCATGTATATATGATACTCCCACCGCGAATTCACCCCGTGCACCACCGATGTAAATTGAGCGAGGGGGGGAGGGGGGCAGAACACGTGCTTGTACAGCTCTTGAAAATCCTACTAAATGCATATTCAAAAAGTTTCCGGGGATAGGTGAAAGCGACGGGAGAGCAAAGTACACACACTATGCACCCACGTTTGATATACATGTAATATATTGCTTTCGGAGTTTTGCTCCGAAATGTCGCTCAATCGGCGCTCTGTATACATACTGGCACAAAAATGCGTTTTTCCTCGTTCGCAATACCTCAGTTCTCCTTACACCGTAGGTGGTAGAGACGTACCCCAACGAGTGTATATACCGACTATTTTTATTCATGCACCTGTGTCTTTTTTATCTCGCCTCTGTGGTGTTGCCCTCCCCCCTCTTTATTTCACCTACCCTAGAGAGTATTGGGTTACTTTGATCCCTTGACCGCTGGCTCGTGCACTTTGATGAAGCCGCAGGGGTTCGTGCAGTAAATATAACCATGAGCCGGGCTTCGGGGGTTATTTTTGGTGCTCGACCGACTTTATTAAATTGCACACGATGGACCAGTACCTACCACGGGAATAAACATCACAGGGGGATATTGCCCGAGTTGGCGGATCTCTCGATATTTTTATTTTGTATAGGGTCAAGTAGATACGTCCAGATTAGGTCAGACAGTCGATGGGGTACGTACGACGCATGTTTAACATATGTACTTGAATCATCGATGGGCAATTGTAAAGTGAACCGATCTGTCGTTTTTGACCTATAGTTTAAAAATTCATATTCAACTGTTACCTTGAAGCTGATTAAGGGCATAGCTGTAACGCTCATGTACAAAAATGAACTATACTATTTATTTGGACAAAATTAATTCTGAACTGATAAATTTTGCGATTACTTACATTTATACGTGCACGAATGAATGTCAATAACACACGTGTGCATATTATTTGCGAACAGTTATCACACATACGTAGTCGTTGGCGCGTTTATACCGTACTTTAGTACCTATGTAATATCTACAGAATGTCTGGAACGAGATGCAGTCACGTTAAAATTCAATTTGATTACTAATATACATGCATGCATACGAACTAGACGAGTCCACGGGTGTATACTCGAAACATTCAACAGAACGTATTCATGCACGAACGACCTATCTGTTTGCCCACACCGTGATGTGTAAAGTACGAAATATATATTTCACAAACCCGTAAATACGTGAATTACGGGTGGATAAAAATAAATTTCCAACAAAACAACAATAATAATAATAACATTAAAAAATGTGTGTTGTCTGATTGTCTGTTGCAGTGCGGCTCCGGCGACATTGTCGACAGAGTGGCCGCGTTCGTGCACACGAGCTCGTCGACGCAGGACGACTGCTAGTGCCGGCCAAGGACTCCGAGGCCAACCGCATCTTCGAGGAGCCTCGGAGCTATATCGGCGTGGCTCTCGCCCCATCACCAAAAGGCTTATTGTTCACAAGTTTTTTTTTTTAATGGTTCTTCAAAGTCTAATGTCGAATTAGACAAACTCTCTCTTTTTTTCCCCTGATTTTTCGCGGGTGAAGAGTTTCGGTTGTACATTATTCGACGGCCGCGCGCGCGAAACTTTACAGTCAACACCCGCGACATCAGCGGGATCGTAAAACCAAAGGAGTGAATCATCGGAGCTTCGAAATTTTTTTCATAGTGCATTCGAGAGAGTTTCACGAGACAGAGGCAGTTCAGTTTTACGCGTGACTGGCTGTGCGAACGAGAGGAGCGACGAGCGTACTCGGTGAATAAGCTCGTTTCGAGGAGCTAAAACTATTGCGCACCAAACAAAAAAAAAACAAAAACAAAAAAAAAACGAATTTCACAGCCGAACTTTTTTAAGCTTGTGTACGCGATGCGTACGGTGTGCAATTTTTTGCGAGATACTTGCCATACCTTATTATACGCATGTTAGAGCGTTTGGACTACATAATATCTTGGACTGAATTTACATATACATATTATATATACACGCAACTTCAAATAACGTGTGCTCGTATGGGGGGGGGGGTGTTATTTGACATTTTTACCGTATTTTACACCGACTTATATTGTACGTGTGCGACATGTGATATGTGACGAAACTAGATATAGTTGAGTTAATTCTAGAATATAAGATACCTATGGGGCGGCGAACTTTCGGAATTGCAAATGCGTATACGTATATTACACAAGAGCGTGTCGACTTTTTTCTTGGGGTGGAAAACTTTTCAAACGAAATTTAACATCAGCTGTCGTGCAGGTGTACCGAGTGAAGATAAAAATAAAGAAATCTCGTTCCAGCGAGTTAAAGACAGTAAATTTTTTTCACCCAGACCTATTCATGAGTACATTGTGTTAAGCTGTAAAATAAAAGGGGGAGCCGGTCGAGCTTGTCTTGATGACAGAGCGGCAGAAATTAATATCAGGAATCGGTAAGGAATCAAAGCTCGACCTTTTGTTCCTCGATTCATCTGGATAATCGTCTAAAATGACCAAAGGAGAACAAAAGCTTCACGGACGGCTGTAGTTATCCAGGTGACGGGAACGAGTACAATTTGTTGTTTTTTTTTCTCATTCGTATCGATGCGTGAATGCTTTATGAACGCAGTTGTTGAAAGGCGCAAGGATATACGTGATTGATGAGATATAAAGGGCTTTATCGGTACATATCGCAATCAAAGTTATAAAGGGCGAGAGCAAAAAAATATCTAGATAAAGTTACCTACAATGTTCACCGCACGTATACATCCATTGTTATTCACTCGAGGCTGCAATTGATCACATTACCATTAAATTGTAACGTGTACAGAAAAAAATAAAAAATATGACTATTGTAAGGATATTATGAATAAAGAAAAAAAAAAAAAAAAAAAATTTGTAGACTTACGTATGAGTACACAACGAATGTAATAATAATAATAAACGAAAATGGTCTTTCTTTTTTAAAACGTCGCATTTGTTTATTCACCTCCCGTTTCGACGAACACTCATTCCCACCGATGTGCAATCAAAATATACCTCGATCGAAAAACCATCGAAATGCACCGTGAAAAACGGAATTAGTTTTCAAAAGTGCCGAATTAAAGAGAATTTTCGCGCGAAAATACAGCAACAAAGAGCCGAGCAAGTTGAACGAACCCCGGCAACCTGAATCCTTTTCCCACGTTAATTCCAATACGGTCGATCGAGCCTCGATATCTCTTTACTCGGTAGAAAAATTAAAATAACCACCCCTACCCCCCTAATCATAAGGAAAATCGATGCCGATCGGAAAAGCTCGTAGCAATAATCGCCATCGCCGAGGCATCAGGAATCCACGTCTTGTCGTGGAAAAAAAAAGAGACTATCCATCGACTTGGATAAGAGAAAAGGGATGCCCTTTCTTTTTCCATCTTTCCTCTTCCGATGGAGTGAAGAACGAGCCGTGGGAAAGTCGATAGGGAAAAATCGCGGGGCTCAAAGGCTTAAGGAGTTCGGTGCGGTGTCGGTGGAGGGAATATCGAAGCTGACGCTTTATCCGTTCGCCGGAGAGGTTTCCATCAGCAGCTCGTGTATCGCAGTATATATATACCACACGTATTACGGCCGATGGCACTTTTGGATGACGCGCACAGCGCCAAGTTTTTTTCGGGGACGAGATGAAGTGAGGAGGGGAAAAAAAAATACGGAAGCTACGGATGAGGAATGGGGGTGCACTCCTTGGAAACAATTAATTTCCAAATGGAAGGGAGGATGTAAAGCGAAAGTCTCCCCTCCCCCACCCCACATGCATATATACATCCGTCTCCCCGTGTGACTCTCCACTTCCTGCTATTCTTGGCTCGCGACGCTGAAACGTCCTCCTCCGGCCTCGGGGGCAACTTTTCCCTCTCTTTCGTCACCGGCTTACTCCCACCCGACCCTCCCCCCTTTTTTTTCCCAGCTACCGGTACACGCTTGTCTCCCTCCGCGCGAGGAGCCGGCTTTTCTTCCCCGGCGCCCTTTTTACCGCCGCTGCTCTTGTTTTATTTATATCTTTTCAAGTCGCGGAGGGAGGAAGTGGAGAAAAAAAAAAAAAGGGTACGTACACCAAACACGGCTCTTGTGTACACGCACGCGCGATATGTACATACGTCGGATCCACTTTGACGCCGATCTACCGATCCGATCGCGCTTTTTCCGGACCCCATGTCTTTCCCCAACTCTCCGATTTCTTACCCGATGCAGAAAAGTATAGGTGTGTGTACAAACACCAATTTGCATCGAAACGGCCGCGATTTCCGAGGCCCCCTAATTGCCGCACTTTCGCGGTGCAATCTCAGCTGGCGCGCTCCTATCTCGTTAGCGGTGGAAAACGACTTTTACACCTCCCCCTTGCAGCTCGGGGCCTATACGTGTATATATACATATATTTACGTGCACCAGCGACTTTGCACAACTTTCCCTCCCGCGAAAAGCTGTTGGATCCCTCGAGCGGGAGAGAGGTTTTTCGCTCTTCCCCCCTCCCCCACCCCCCTCTGCATATACTATACGAACGGTGTTGTTGCACTCGTAAGGCATTAGCCACCTTATCCTCCGCACTCGCGTCTTTTCCCTATACGTATACATGGTAATTTTGGAAGGTCGAAAAACCCAACCCAAGCGTATACGGCAGATATACGTATAATGTATAGGTGCATGGGAGGGAGGGCCGAGTGGGGTGTTAATTTCATCTGGCCGCTCTGGCACGGTGCCCAAACCACCCCTACGTGTATAAACCTTCGCTACCGCTGTGCTACTATAGAGCCCGACGCGACGGTCCAAAGGGGGGGGGGGAGGGGGGAGGTAGGCTGCACCAAAGCCATACCTGCGGATGGAGAAAGAGAGCACGTGTGTGTTGGAGAGAAAGAGAGAGGAGGAATGCAGCAGCAGCAACGACGGGGTGGCGATCGATGGGGCCAGGAGCAGCGCTGCGACACACAGACACCCACACGTAAGACCACTCACGTGGGTTTGTGGTAGTGGTGGTGGCTGTACAAGTGTAGAGCGTGCTCTTTGGGAGTACGTATATATATATATGTATACGCATCGTTGTTATTTGCAGAGAGGCTGACTATACCTAGGCTCGAGGTGGGAAGGGGTTTCGTGTTGCGTTGCGTTATGTTAGTACCCCACCCTTCCTTGTGCGGGTGCGCTTGTTTCGACGATTCCGAGGATGACTCTCGGTATGATAGCACCGAGTCTCGTGGCGTGATTATACCAAAGGAGACGCGAGCTCGTTTGGAACCATATCCCCAGTCCTGCAGTGAGCTGTATACGCGAGGCAGGGGGGAGGATGTGGGTGTTTAGCATCGTTTTGCGTACCACTTACGTGATGCTTTTAGATACCGATGATCTAGTATAGGTATACGTATACCCTGCGATGTTCGGATGAATTGTTTTTTCACCCGTAAACTCGGTGCTTGTCCGACCCACCTATGTACCTACATATATACTCAACGTAGTAATGAAAAATGATAAATCTTTCTGAGCGTTCGCCTCGTGCTAAGTGTACACACAAACACACACACACACACCGCGAGCATTGCCTTATTGCAAAAGGGGCCCTTTCGGAAAATTCGAGCGAACAGAGCGAGAGAACGGTAATCGCCTCCGAGCCTTTGCCAAGACGATAAGATTAACGCCAAGCGCGGGGCTTGTGTAACCACCGTGTGTATACTTGTACGCGTGTACGGCTGCGGTAACAACGCGAGGGAACGCCGTGAGTGATATAGCCAGGGAAAATGCGTCGTTGCACGGGGTGATACGGTCCGAGCCTTTCTCGACGACTCACCCCCACGAGCGACGAGGAGAGAGATATTTTTTTCTTTGTTTCCCCATAAAGGATCTCGAAAGATCTCACGCGGGCTTATTTAGATTATGCGGCAAAAAAAAAAAAAAAGAAAGGGGAACTACTTGATTTGTACAAGGCTTCGCCCCAACAGGAAAAACCCCCGCGAATAGTATATAGCGACGCCGATCTATATATATATATGATAGGTATATCCAACAGTAGAGTGATTTCCCGCCCTTCGCTTTTCTCGCGCATTAAGCGTCGTGTAGAATTAATGTACCTACTGCTGTATACACGAGAGCCCGGGTGTACACGAACAACATTAGCTGACGCACCCCCTTCCTAAGCTCGTGCGGTCACGGGGGGGGGGTAGATGGGAGGAGGGGGTTACGCAAGTTTTTCGCGCAAAGGGGTCTTGATGATCAAGGAATTCTCAAAGGGGCCCGCGCAATTTAACGGCGCGCGTAATTAAGCCAGTCTTACGAGGGGATGTGTATAGAATAGCTATCCGTGTAATGACTGTGGGTGTGTAAAACATGTATCGAGGGTAAGGAGACTCTCGAGTTTGATACTTGGGGACTCGATCTCGCGAGTGTATCGATTGATTGGCAGGGATTGGCTGCGAGGGAGGTTGAATTGATT